ACTACTACTACTACTACTACTACTACTTGGCCGGCCGGCCGGCCGGCCGCTATGGCCAGCCGGCCGGCCGGCCGCTATTTGGCCAGCCGGCCGGCCGGCTGGTCGCGAAATAGCAGGCCGGGTTGCCCGCGCTGTCCTGGTCTCACCATCTTCTCAGCTCCAAAAGCCTTGCGTGGTCGCCCCCCAGCGTCGCAGGCCCTGTGAGAGATCACTACCCGCGCCTTGGACGGTGGACCGGTCAGAGGTCCCGATGGGGTACGGGACGAGGAAGAACATGGGATGGAAGGTATGGAGTTTGTAGTGCATATAGTTGTTCAATTCTGAATTGAACATGTCATGATCGCAAGTCAAATCGATGTGCAACTCGATCTATCCGAATTCGTGGACGTGAAGTGTCCACTGAAGGCAGGAAGTTGAAAGAATGCTCGAGACTCTTTGACTACGGGGGGCTGATGTCGTCAGTTTCCACCTGGGAGATGAACCACGACTTAGACACAGCGCAGATTTGTTGGCAGCATAGACTCAGCATGCTTGACATATTTTCCTCGATCAATTTGACATATGTTAACATAGTTGTGTATTTTTTCGATTGCAATAGAACCTTCTTGATCCTGCACTGTATCCCAGATTCTTGCAGGCAAGGGGGGTGAGTCATGTTGACGCAATTGGTCAAAGCCCAGAGAAAAGCGGCAGTATTCAAACCGCTGATCCACATGTTTCCTCGCTTTCATCTAGACCCTGCCCGAAACTAACATAGCCTCCGCCTGGAACAGGACAATCATTTTTGAATCAATCCCTCCTGACTGGCAGGGGTCATGTTTGTTTTTTGTGACTGTGAGACAAGAGTGTTCTTCTTTCGGACTTTGTTTGGTTCGTTGCACTGTGCGGTGCCACCCCACCTTTCGTCCGGATCTCGTTCGACCCCCCATTAGTATCCGGACACTGTCAAGTTCAAAGCCATACTGTACCCACCAGGGAACTGCGAAAGCCTCTATCCTCCCCTTGAAGGAACTTTCAACGTCCGGGTGGGTGCACACACGTGAAGAAAACACACTGGCTTCCAAGCGATGTGGCTGAGCCTACGGGTGGCTTCATCGGTGAACACACACACACACACATGTTCATCACATTCCCACCATCCAGCACAGTCTGTCTTTGGAACGGACGTGTTCCTTAACCATCCCAAACTTGTGGAGCTCTGCATGTGGACCTCTGCACCGAAATCTGAAGGTGGTCCTTCCAATTCAGTATGGGCATCTTGAGCTTGTCCATTGGATCGATCTTGGGCCTCACCTCCGCCTACCAGTCCTTAGTGCCTCGGGCGGCCGTCTCGGCCTCGTCCCACGGAGGGACATGGTGCCGGTTCCGAGCGGCGGACGAGCGATGGATGACGAGACCACTGAAGTTGAGGGTTGTTTGGAAGTATCAGGGCAAGATCCTGTGTATGTAATATACTATAATATACTATATATACACATGCCTGGAGAGGGGGAGCATATCTGCAAGGCCTGGTTGTGGTAGATCCTCGGTTTGACATAGAGCAAGGCCTGGCACATGGCTCCAGATATTATGCGTCTAGATCTGTGGATGGCTATGGCTATAGCCGTAGATGTGACATGCCAGTCTTGAATCGAAGGGACACTTTGACATCTCATGATTGTGGGTTATTTCGGCCAGGACAGAGTGAAGTTGGTGACCCACGCAGATATACATGCCACTGTCGCAGTATTCAATGTGAATCTGTCCAAGCCTGCCCTCAACTTGTTGTTTGATGTGACCAGGGTTCCGGTGTATTTTTTAGGGGGACAGACAATGTCTAAAGGACAAATCAACATGTCTTTGGGCAATTGTCCTATTGTTCCAGCGGACAAATCATAACAACATCCTAAGATGATGTTTCTCCCAGGAGAACCTTGTTTGTTTGAACCATCCGAAAAGAACACGGACATCCCTCTTTTCCACCGTTCCTGAATTCAGGTGAAGGTCCTATGAGGATGGCGCGACGCCACTCGGTCCCAACGGCGCACGCGCAGGGAACGTCAGGACTGACGGGGTGACTGGGTTCACGCGGCAGTGACCAGGCACTCATACAAGAACGGCATTGAAAGGTTCTGAAACCACCCAAACGGCGAGCGAAGAACACGAGACTTCAATGATGGTTTTGACATGTTTTTGGGCAAAGAGCATCGGGTCTTTGCGTTCTGTTGGCCTAGCAGTTGGAGGCCATGGGCCACATGATCGGATTCAACTTACATCACGCGCAGCCATTTGCTGATCTATCAGTGTTTGATTCAAACGATGCATCCAAACTAGTTAGTTGTGGTTTCATTTTTGGTGAGTCTGGACCACAAAGCCGGTTCTCACTTGTTCAATTAGGTTGAAGCCCGTGGTTGCCACTAGTATATAGTATATAACTGTCCAAAGCATCAAGCACTAGAGGAAGGATCTACCCACCTATTTGTTCTCTTTTAAGCATCCAGTCGCGGTGAAAAGCTTTGCTCCGACTGAAGCACCACTGTTTTCCCCCGGCAGCGGTTCTTTTCGTGGACCGACGCCAGAGTGGGGGGTTCAAGCCCACCCGCCTGCAGCGGGTATGGCTGAAAACGTCTCAAGTCAAAAGGCCCAGAAGTATGGTAAGAACATGTAAGAAACATCCCTTGCAAGGTTGAAATAATAATCCTGTTGATAGGTGCCCAACAATCAAAAGTTATGCTGGCCAACTCAAGTCAAAGTTTTCAACACACAACTATTGCCATGCTTCTCCTCCACTAAGGGGCTTGCAGTCAGACCTCTGAAGAATCAAAGCTTTGCCGGCGCTACAGTGAAGAGCTGGGGGCCGGGTGCGCATTTCAGGGCTCAGGAACCAATCCACTAGACAGTTGTGACGATGTGCTTCAATCAAAATCAAATCATTCCCAGGCAGTACCAATTTGGGCAATCATGATGAAGAACCACAGGTTGGCTTGTTGGTGCTAGCTTCTTTTGACCAAGCCAATGGTGCAGACAAGGATTCCAGAATATATAGTTGACGGAAGATATTGATCCCTGTGATGGGAGCCCATGTTTGCTTGATAGACAATCCAGTGCCCTCGTTAGGAGGTTCCACAGCGCACGCTTTCCAGATCATTTGCAGTGACCTTCTGTTGTTCAAGCAGTTGGCACAACTCTAATCCTGCAAGTGCTTCACGTCGATATCAAGTGTTTGACGTCGATCTTCTGTTACAACTCTAACTCCACAGCTACGCAGACAACGACCAGACAAACGATCTTGGCACTTCTTCGAGTTTCTCCACAGCGACTCCTTCGCTCCACGCATACTCCGAGCATCCCAGCACCCATCGGCGGATCGGGCGAAGGGATCGCCCATTGGCGGATCGGTGGATCGGAGAGGTCGGTGGTTCGTTGGTTGAGCCCGGCGAGTGAAGAACTCGCACGTTTGTACAAAGGAAGTGCGTGGCGAGGAGACCTCGACCGTACGCGGACCCACACAGACCCTAGCGCGGGACTCATGGTCCAAGCTTCTGTTTGCGGTGCAGAAGGGTTTAGAGTGCCCGTGTTACTGCTGTAAATTGAAGACATCCAGAAGTTGTTGGTCTCTTTCTGCTGCTCAGATACCCCATGATGACCTCGACATGGTCTCCTATCATCATCACCTCTTGAATGGAGCTCTGAGTACTGACCATCTACTACGTATATGCATACCTGGACCCTCAAATGCCTTTTTTGACGCAGACAGATGCAGCAAGTTCGCAACAGAAAACATGAGTCAAAAAAAAATGACGCAGAAGTGACAAACAAACAACGCAGAAGCACATAGAATGACACCAAATTGTTTGTTGTGTTTAGTGTTTGAGCTACTCTCGCAATGTATATATGTAATATACACATATAGGTATATATATATATATATATTAAGTATACCCAATAGAGCATATGGTCCCAATGTCAATACTTTCATGCCTTTGCTATCAAAACTAATTGGAATGGTCCATCGAACAGAGGTGAACCTAACCCATCCGGCTATCCTTTCACAAGCAGAAGTGCACTTTCTGTGGGTTCCGGTTCAGGTGTTGTCTATACCTAAGAAGTCAACATGTTCATGCCTTTGCTATCAAAACTACCAGTAACTGTGAGATTTGTTGAGAAGATAGGAAAAAAAGAGGTATGAAAAGGTCACATATTCATTGAACATGTTCAAGCAGTGAGTTGATGGCTTGTCAATGTTTTTTAAATGGGTATCATTACTATTACCCAACACTGCACACCGATATCGAGGTGCAACTGCAGGTGTTACAGGAAATGATGTGCTCCAGTGTTGCACATGTTTCAAGGGGCCCTAGGCAAGCGAAAGCAACACTACATAGGGCCACCAGGATCCAGTACAGGCAATATGAAGAACAGTGGTTCCTTTTTCGCGAAGACACAATGTTGGACCATGAAAGCTGGGCCACTTGTTTGATAGAAATCGGGCATGGCAACTCCAAGATTCCGGTAGCTTAGTTTCAGCCCGTTTCAAAAAATAGAGCGCCGGCTTTAGGATCGCCCGAATTCTGACAGCATTCGCCCTAAAGGCTACGAGAAGAAGGGACATGCACCAATAGACTGCCCATTGCGGTTTGCGGATTCAAGAAAGGAGCTAGTGTTAGTAAGAGATATACAACTTGTTCGATGCTGAGGAAACCTTAGAATCTTGGCGCGTCTTGGCACAATGGATTTGAAGACATCTTCAACAAACATGTGACTAGTTGGACTCAATAAGCTCTCCGGACCACAGCTTTTGTTTCCACAAGCAGGTCGGGATGGAAGCCCTTTTTAACCAGCAAGCGGCAAGTTCACCAACTTTGGCAGTCCAATCTTGGTCATGTGTCCACTGCCCCTTCTAGTTCTTTTACAGGCCACCAAGTCCTTTGTTCAGTGTCCAAAACAACGTTTCAATCTGGTGTTGCATGGTTTTTTAAGGTACCCCACTATTGGCCAAGAACGCCTATTGAGCTCTCCTTTGTGGGAGGTGAGTTGTTTTAAAAACAACTAAACTACAGTAAACCAACCACCCTTCTTCATGCCGCTCCTGCCTGGGCCGCTCCGCCAGGTTCTTGGTGCCAGCGGCCAACGAGGTCGGCCCAGACGTGCCGCCCCAAGCACCGTTGAGAGTGTTTGCATGTGTTTGCCATGTGACCTTTGAGTGTCCAAGACGAAGATGTGGAAACATATCGAACGTTCACGTTCGTTTTGCAAGGATGAACCATCCACTGTAAAACGAGCAGAAGGACTATAATTATGTATAACTATACTTACACTGTGTAGCACCTCTGCACGGATCACCCTGCATATTGTCTCATCTCAGGTTTGTCCCCACAAAGACAACGACGAGTTTTATACTAAGCACAAACATGGTAGCAAAACAAACACCGAAACGATAAACAGGACGAGCCTAGAATACTTTTCCGTGGACAATGGCCCCATGTCCTGTACTAGCTATGCTAGTCTGGAGTTAGCTCTTTGCCAGTTCTCCACAGCACATTTGTGGATGCCTTTGCACACGAATGTTCACTGACGCAATGGCCCACACATGTTGCAACAAAGTTGCAAAAGGGAAAGGTAGGGCACATTTTCAGACAACCTCCTTTGGCATGTATTATCTACTTGTGGCTCCATTGGGTCTTGATTTTAACCACCCCAACAGGGTCCTTGTTTTTGTCCAAGGTTTGATGGATGCGCATTTATGTGCAATCTACCCGTTTCAAGGGTACAGGATTTTGACACATAGACGGAGATGCATAGAAAATATAATTATATATATTATAATATATATATATATACATATTACAATATGCCCTTGACTTTGTCGCAGTTGTTTGTTCTCTTGTCAAGTTCTCCTATTGGACAGCAGATGGGCCCCAAACAATTCCACTTAGCACAGAAACAATTCCACACTCCTCCTCCTCGGATCCGCGATCGATCCGGCACAGAAATCGACCCGGATCCGGTGTCCTTTCGATCGCTTTCGAGTCGCCGGGACGATCACCACTCTCCGCGTGGTCCGCAGGTGTTCTTCCTGGAGCGTTTGTTGGTCCCGCCCAACCGCTTTCGACCTCCCGAACCCGTCGACCGCCCGGGCCGCCGAGTGGAGAGACTGGAGCGAGCGGTGGACTCCGTGCGCGAGAGAGCATGTGCCAGTGAACCAGTAGGCGAATTGGTTGTGTGGGTAGAGTACGGTACCTGTTACGTTTGATTGGATGGTAGAAGGTTGTTGGTTTCTCGGTTTTGTTATGTTCTTGCTGTGGTTACCTGTTTGATAGACCTGTTTGCCTGTAGAAGCTCAGTTAGGCCCACTTCATTTGAGTTTTTCCTTACGTTAGAGGTTCTTCTCATGAACATACTTCCACGCTTAGACGTTGTGTGCGTGAGCCTTTCGCTTCAGGGTCAATGCTCTTTTCGCACATGGGACTTGCACCACTGCGCACATTGAAGACTCCAGAGCTTCCGCAACAAGGGCTACCTATATAGTGATGAACCTAAGAGCGATGGCCTCCAACCTAGTAGCGATGGCCTCCAACCTGATAGCGATGTTCTCGTCCCTTAAGAATGTTCATGGAAAGTGTGTTCATTTCACACGATAGATAGAAGGACTTGGCTGCTCAGAGAGGAATGTGACCCACGATAACACGCCCATGTGCACTTCTTTCCTTCGTTTGCCTCGTCTTGGTCGTGTTATCACCTCGACATCCTACTCTGATCTTTATACATATATAGTCAGCAGCAACTCATGATGTGAAAATCACTATTCAAGTGGGTATAGTACTCTTCAATGATCTTCGGAATCTACATGACGTATGTGACTGAGTGCAATCTATAGGAATTGTATGGAATTGTTCCATCGATATTTGGGAACGCCTCTGATCCACTCTGTGTTACTATGTTTTGCAGATGCGTTAGAACTTAGAACATCAATCAGCCACACATGTCATGATTTGGGTCAAGAGCGGGTCAAGAGCCATTGAACCGGCTGAGGACAAGGCAGAAATTCATGTTTTTTTGGAGGAATTCCTGTTCGGAGACAGGGGATATGAGGGGACATGTGTCTTTTTTGGACATTTTCTGGTGTTGTTCCATCACCTCAAGCCAAACTGATTCTTTTGTTGGTGAATCCTGCGAACGGCCGCATTTCAGTACTGAATCGCTCTTCAGGCGGCGAGAACAAACCAACCCAATATTCGCCCCACAAGCATACCAAGCTCCTCGAAAGCCGCCTGTCTATGTGGGCCAGAGTTGTTTCTTTTTTTTTTCCGGGGTCGCCAGAGTGTTTTGTTGATAAGAGACAGGGGTGTCAACGCAAGCTTGAAGTTGTCATAGAATGGATGTGCGTGTTTGTGTGTGTGTGAATAGATTTGAGATACGTAGACCCAAAAAATCTGTGAGGAAAGCCGCCAGGGATCCGTAGTTTTACCCACAGAATATGACAGCTTTCGTGAGAGAGATGCAGGTATGGTGATCTTATGCGCAAAAACTGTTCCCGCATGTTGGTGAAATTGATTGAGTCAACGTCGGAAGTTTATATAACTATGAATTTGTACATTTGTTGACTGTTGACCATTTATATGTGTTCTCATATCGGACTGTTCTCATTTGTTGATTCTGGGAAGTGCGTGTTCCGCGATCACCGGGGGACCGGGCGAAGTCCTGGACCGGTGATACTCAGTGGACCGGCGAGGACTGGGTGAGTCGGACCCATCACATGGTGAATACATACCAAAACAGGCTCGCCCCGACACCACGGGCCGCTCTCTTCTCATCGAAATGATGAATTTCTTCCATCCCCTCAAAAAACCTGGAAGACCTTGAAGGAACTATTAGATGGGGAGCGATACCGGGAGCCCCTGGTCTGATCAAGCACTGAGTG